GAGATAGGGGAAAAATGGCCCTCCCCCCCCCCCCCCGGGGTTCCTCTTCACCTCTGTTAGTCAGATTGGCACTATTCAGTCTGCTGTGCCTGTTTAGACTGTAAATGCTTGGGAGGGGGGAATCTGTCTCATTCAGGCTGTGTCTAGACTACATCCCTCTGTCGACAGAGGGATGTAAATTAGGCACTAATTAAATATCCCACGCTTCATTTGCATAATCACGTCATGGCTGTCTTTCGAAAAAGCGTCATTTCAAAAGTAAAACCGCAGTCTCACTTTTTGAGATTTACAGGATCTTTCGAAAAAGGCTTCTATTTTTGAAAGAACCGTGTCTAGACTGCGCTTTTACTTTCGAAATGGCGCTTTTTCGACAGAGAGATGTAGTCTAGACGTAGCCTCAGATTTAGCATATTTTGGAGCACCACTAGGCAAGCAGATGTAACTTGCTTCTAGAGCACCTTTCCTCCTAAGGATCCTGAACTGCTCCAAACACAGGCATTGCTCTACTCACCACTGAAAGGCAGATACCTCTGAGGTAAAACATGGTTGCTATTTACACAGCACACTGCTCTCTCCATTTCAATCCACCGGTGGAAGCTGACGGAAATGTGGGGCTTGTTTTACCCTGGGAATTTGCCTCCATTCCAGCCATGGCAGTAGGCCTTGGAAGAGCTGGATTGAATTTCTGCCTCTGCCACACTTATGCTCGCTGTGTGATTTTGGGAAGTCTCTGAGCCAATCAGTACAATGTCTTGTCTTGTCTATACATTCTTCAGGGCAGCATCTCGCACAATGGGGCCCAGCTATTAGGTAGAACCTCTAGGAGCTACATAATACAAATAATAACTGGGACTAACCCCAAAGCAACAAGGCCCACTAAGGCTTATTTTTAACCCCTCTTCCCAAATGCAGCTGCCCTCTGACCCTGCTGCCCTGAGGAAGATGAGCTTTCCCTTCTGCTCATTGTTATTTAATGAGGATGTTAACACACAATGTTCAGCCAGTCTGTGCAGTTGACAAGTCTTTAGGGCTTGATGGTGCTGAGAACTACCTGCTCCTAGAGGGAGAACTTTGATGTATTAACAACTCATGCAAACCTTGCCATGTCAGTGAGCTGGAAAGGGAGTGGATCTGGATAGAACAGAGGGTAGAAAACAGGAGTGAATTGATTGATCTGTTTTATCCAGATGATTTTTTGGCATCGCCCTGTATTTTCCGGGCATTCTGACTTGGAGAAAACTGACAGAAAAAAACTTCTTCTCCAGTCCAAACAAGAGCTGTTCTGAAAGGTTCTTAATGGAAACATAGTACAGGTTGAACCTCTCTAGTCTGGCACGCTCTGGTCCGGCAACATCCATGGTCCGGCGTGATTTTAGTGAGCCGGATGTCCATTTATGGGTGTGGCCAAGTTTCCTGTGGTTCCATAAAGTTTGTTTACTGCCAGCAGTCCTGGTTCTCAGTGTTCTGTGCTGTTATTTAGCTCAGGGGTGGCCAACCAGTTAGACATGAAGAGCCAAAAGAGCTGTGGATAGTAGTGCAAAGAGCCACACATTCCTCCCCCTCCCCCAGGCTCCCCCCAGGTCTCCCCCCCCCCCAGAGCCAGGCACCCCCAGGCCCCTTCCATTCTAACCCAATGCCTGGGTCTCACCGGAGCTGCCACCATCACAGCCACACACTTCTTCCTCCAGGAACTGGGGCATTTGCACAAAGCGGGCATGCGGCTCCGAACGAGCCGTAACCCCGAGAATCGCATTTCTGTAAGCAAAGAGCCGCATGTGGCTCAAGAACCAGAGGTTGGCCACCACGGGTTTAGCTCTAATTTACCCCCTCTAAGCAAGTAAGCAGCAGAAGTGTTGGTAATGCTGCTAGACAATATCAGCTTCTGGTGGTTTGGCAAATTCTCTGGTTTGGGACCGATCGGCTGTGTCTAGACTGGCAAGTTTTTCCATAAAAGCAACTGCTTTTGCAGAAAAACTTGCCAGCTGTCTACACTGACCACTTGAATTTCTGCAAGAACACTGACGATCTCATGTAAGATTGTCAGTGTTCTTGCGGAAATGCTGTGCTGCTCCCATTCGGGCAAAAGCCCTATTGTGCAAATGCTTTTGCGCAAGAGGGCCAGTGAAGACAATGCGGTATTGTTATGCGCAAAAAAGCCCCAATCGCAAAAATGGCGATCGGGGCTTTCTTGCACAAAACCGTGTCTAGATTGGCACGGATGCTTTTCCGCAAAAAGTGCTTTTGCGGAAAAGCATCCGTGCCAATCTAGACGCGCTTTTCCGCAAATGCTTTTAACAGAAAAACTTTTCTGTTAAAAGCATTTGCGGAAAATCATGCCAGTCTAGACGTAGCCATCAAGTCCCGAGGGGCCGGACTAGAGAGGTTCAACCTGTAGCAGCAAAAGAGGAGCTCCTTTTGCCATAAGTTTCCATACAAATAGGTCAAATGTTTCTGACTTACCACAGATATTTGCTAGGTCATCCAGACTCTCTGATTGCCAAAACGAGAGGAGTCTTTGCTTTCACTGTCTGTTTCATGTGTGGGCACTGACATGTGGTAATAATAACTAGCTTGTACATAATGCTTATCAGTGGATCTCAGAGTGTTTTACATAGGAGGCCAGTATCATCCCCAGAGGAGGCAGCAACAACAAAGGAACGTGCCCAGAGTCACTCAGCAGGCTCCCTGGGTAGGTGTTCTGGCTGCTGGCCTGTGCAGAAGTCCATGCCAACCACATCTGTGCTGTAGATGAAAGCAACCTGGGTATGACACCCTAGGCTACAATTGTACCTTCCTTGGCAGCGCAGATACAAACCCCCTGTTAAACGGCGGAGCAGCTGCTCACCTCTCTTGGGAAAAATGCTTCCTGCAGCTCCCCCTTCAACAGCCTCACTGTTCTTAGGTGGGCCCATCTTGCGCAAGCACAAATTACACCTGCAAATAAAAATACAGGCACCTGCATCAACCTGGCCTTTAATGTCAGGCATCACACTTCATTGAGAGTCGCATCCTACCCATGGTGCAAGGGGGTGACGCCAATCACCCTCTGTAAGGATCCACTCCTCCCTTCCTTGAGCAATCCAAACACCCATTTGCTTTAGGAATGCAGGATAAGTCATGCAAAAATCAAGCCCTTGAGCCTTTGAAATCTAGTGGGGCCTCCAGCGTACCACTGGCCCATAGCTTTCACCCAGTAATTCCTGCACCTACCTGAATGGCTTTAGGGGTGGGGGTCAACTGGAGCAGATCTTGAAGCAAGACAACCAGCTTTACCATGAGAACTACTCCAGTCTTTCAAGGACCCTTACCCACTTCAGTTAGCTGATCATTAACTCTTTCATAGCTGCTGGCGTGCATTGCAAATTATCTCAAGTGTTACTGCCAGGAACTCAAGTCATAAGCATTTCAATCCTCCCCCACTTAAATCACAAGCATCAGTGATTGGGCCATGCTTCATGGATGGTACCAAGTTGGCTTCTCTCACCTTATTATTTTCATGACTCATTAGTGGCGGGTTCCAGCCTTTCCCCCTTATTTGACAAAGTAAGGGGTGGGATTATACCTCCCTGCTATTGATCTTGGCTTTCACTGATGCCTGCACTGTTTTCTCAGCTGTAAGATTTGGGTTGTTTATTTTGTTTTCAGATTAGATGGATGTTGAGTGGGGTTCTTTAGTAGGCAAAGCTAGAATTGCAGGAGCACAGCACCAGGAGCCAAAGGCAACACCAAACACACACCAGGAAATGGAGCAGAAGGAAATGTAAGCCAAGTAACCGGAACACGGGGCAGCCCACACTTTTCTGCACATGCATGCAACCTTCATCCACTTGATGAGAAAACAGCCCAAAAACCTGCTCGAGAGGTGGCAGATCATTGTGTAACCCACTACCTGATGGGTGTGGTTCACTGTCCCATGTAGTGGCACTTAGACCACCTACAGAGATAGTGTGATATTGCTCTACACTACAGCCTTAGCTGAGAGCCAGCTGGCTTTTAGCTCATGCACTAAGCTCCAGCGGTCCCAGGTTTGGTCCTGCCTGTTAGCATCACAATTGCAGGTGGACCAGAATGGGCTAGCAGGAAAAGGTAAAATCATTTCATATCACTGTGCTGTTGATGCTGAAGCCAACATTTAAAGCCGTGGTCTTCAACCTTTTTAACCACAAGATCACTTTTGCAATTTAAGTCCAATGTAAGATCTACCTCAACCCGAATACCCTTGCCCCCACTTCCTTCCTGCCCCTTCTTTGAGGCCCTGCCCCTGATTCATCCCTTCTCCACGGCCTCACCCTACTCACTCCATCCCCCTTCCTTCCCCATCCTCACTCACTTTCACCAGGCTGGGGTAAGGGATTAGGCTGCAGGCTCTGGTATTGGGCCAAGGTGTTTGGAGTGTGGGAGGGGCTCCAGGCTCAGCCCAGGCAGGGGAATGGGGTCCAGGAGGGGTTTCAGGGTGCAAGTGCTGAGAAAAGGGTTGCCAGATGTCTGGTTTTGAACCAAGACAGTCCAGTATTTGAGGTTTCTGTTCAGGAAACAAGTTGAGAAAATATAAATGTCCGGTATTTACTAAATACGATGTAATGTAGATGGTGATGCAATGTCAAGTGTGTCCGGTATTTTTGTTGAAACCATCTGGAAACCTTATCTGAGAAGGAGTTTGGGTGAGGGAGGACTCACATCTGGGGCAGGACGTTGGGTTCAGGAGGAGGTTCAAGGCTGCAACAGGGGTTCAGGATGCAGGCTTTGGCTTGGCACCAAACTGAGATGGCTTTCAGGTAGTGGAGCAGCAGGATTAAGGCATGCTTACTCCTGCCCTGGCCCTGCACCACTCCAAAGCAGCTGGCATGTACAGCAATGGCTCCTTGGCACCATGTGCTGCCCCTCATCTCCAGGCACTGAGCCCATAAGCTTCTACTTGCTACGGTTCCCCATTACTGATCATTGGGAGCCGTAGGAGTGGTGTCTGCAGGCAAGGACAGCATGTGTAGTCACTCCGCCCCCTCTCCCTCACGGCTCTGCCTTTCTCAGGGGCTGCAGGGACATGCCAGCTACTTCCAAGAGCAGCATTTACCACAGGGATAATTACTCCAGCCACGACAGGTTAAGCATTTTAGAGCTCAAAGAATTATATTTAAGTATAAAAGAGAAATGAAAATTATGAAATGCAGAGACTAGTCGCAAACCAAACATCACCCATTTTACAAGCAATAAAAGTAGTAACCACAAGCCCCCACCCCCAATGTATGTGTTGGGTCAGGAGATGAGAGTGAAGGACAGTGTGTGTTTGTGAGAATGAGAGACACACACAGTGTGTGAGTGTGACCGAGATTTGCATTGCCAAGCTCCCCCATCCCCTTCTCTCTGTGTGGAGATACGGTACACCCAGACATCAGCCCTCCCTCTTCTTCCCCCCATACCCTGCACAACAAGCAGAAGGCTCCCGGGAGGCAGCTCCAAGGCAGAGGGCAGGAGCAGCATGACAGTGGGTGGTGAGGCAACTGAAGTGCCAGAGCTTGATAGCTTCCTGGCCAAACCCCAGCCAGGATCACCTGTCAGAGGCTCCAAGATCTACCAGTGGTGACCACTGATTTAAAGTATCACTATTGCCGAATATTCTTAGCAAAAGATTTTCCCATGTTGTCTTGGAGATAAGAGTTCTCATGGCAAAACTGGTTGTCTTTCTTAAAGATCTTCTCTAGTTGATACCTTCCCCCCAAAGTCATTCAGATAGGTTCAGCCATTACTGAGTGAAAGCTATAGGCTGGTGCTATGCTAGGGGGTCGAATCTGGATTGTGACTTCACTTCCCAGCACCATCCTAAACTCCTTGGGCAAGCCATGTAATCTCTTTGAGCCTAAATTTCTCATCCGTTAATAAGGGGGTAATATTTTGTTGCGTGCATAAGATTTCAAGCGCTAGAGGCTTGTCTACATACACAAGTTACACTGATGTAACTGATGAGGGCATGTCTCTACTACGCTGGGAACTGATGCCACAGTGATCGATCCACCGGTCATTGATTTATCGTGTATGCTTAGACATGATAATTTGATCTCCAAGCGTTCGCCTCTTGATGTTGGTACTCCACCAGTACAAGAAGAGTGGCCAGCATTGTCAGGAGAGCAGCCGCGCTGATCTTACTGCATGCAAGATGCCACAGTGAGAATGTCGACTTCTGCTATGCTATTAGATCAGATCAGATCGATGGTGGGGATTAGTATAGACAAGGCCTAAAAGTGTCATATAAACATACAAGCATGAACTAAACTTATGTGCTCCACATTGAAGCCGATGTAAGAGTGCCCACGTACAAGTCTACACCAGTTTAGCTACATGGGTGCAATGTTGCACCTATGCTTAAACCAGTGCAACTTTGTGAGTCAACCAGGGCTTGATAGGTGTCTGTGCGGCCCCTAGCAGAGGGGGGTCTTGATCTCAGCCAGAGGTCCTCAGTACAAACAATAAATAAGGACAACAGCAATTGTGGATTGCTAATCAGCTGGGCAGCAAGTGAATCTCTCCTGAGCTGCAGCACAAGTGCACAACTTGCAGTGAATATTGCTGCCATGATACCTCTCTTCCTGAATCCCATTGCCCTAGCAGAGTGCTCATAGGTAGGTTTTTTGTTTCTATTGGTGGTGCACATTCTCATATGTCTCGGTGCACATTGAAAAAATTATTCTGCACATGGATGGAAAAGATTAGAGGGAACATTGTATGGCACTCTTTTTTTGCAGCCATTAACCCTTAGCACTTGTAATGTGCTATGTGCTGTCCTGGCGCTATCAGGTGGCATGTGTGCAGTCTGTGAAGGTAATTGCCTGGCTCTCTGCTCAGTGATCTCAATGACTCTCTAAGTCCCAGTGAGCCTCAGAGGTAGCGCCATAACTAGGTATTTTTGTGCCCGGGGCAAAATATTAATTATGCGCCCCCCTTTCCTTGGGTTAGCCTGTGTCATGCTATTTACTTTTGCAGCTTATTATTTTATTGCATCTTTGTGCACCTGATTATTATGCACCCGGGGCAAGCTCAGAGGTTTGCTGTGTGGAGCAGTGACTCACTCTCCCCTCCAGACTGCAGAGGGATCCATGAGGCAGCCATGGTAATTGTGGGGATTAGGCAACGCCTGCCACCGTACTCCCCAATTCTTGCAGAAAAGGCATCGGGACCAGGCTGCTGCTCAACTGCCTCAGCTTGCCTGCCATTGGCGAGCTGTCTTGCTGCACGCCAATTACAAGCAATTAGCCACACCTGGTGCTGGAACTGGGTGGAGCAGCCGGCGGGCAGGGCGGGACTCTGGAAGACAATACTGCAGTACCTCTGTTTGTCCGCCCTTCTGCTTTGTGTGGGAGCCAAGGGCAGGTCCTGATGAGCCCTATGTGGCCTTGGAAAGCAGCTTCTCCCCAAGACAGATCAATGGGTGGAATCTGGTGTCATAGTGAAATAAATACATTCAGCACTGGGCTTGGTCCAACGGCCGCTGGCTTCGCTGGGCTTTGGTTCAGGCCAGTACAAATCTTACACTAGAGGGCTATGTCTACACTCGCGGCTTCCTGCGTGAGAAATATGCAAATGAGGCTAAGCGTGGAATATCACCGAGCCTCATTTGCATACCTAATAAGCCGCCATTTTTGCAGAAGAGGCTCTTGCGCCAGAAGGTGCTGTCTACACTGCCCCTTCTTGCGCAACAAAAACCCTCTTGCGCAATGCCGCTACGCCGATTACTTTTCAGGAAGAACGGCATTGCACAAGAGGGTTTTTGTTGCGCAAGAAGGGGCAGTGTAGACAGCACCTTCTGGCGCAAGAGCCTCTTCTGCAAAAATGGCGGCTCATTAGGTATGCAAATGAGGCTCAGCGATATTCCTCGCTTAGCCTCATTTGCATATTTCTCGTGCAAGAAGCCGAGAGTGTAGACATAGCCTAAGAGATTGTTGATGCAGACCATGAAGGAGAAGTGGTGTTCTATGCAGGTTGGGAGGGAGAGTAATTACTCGTGTTTGTAGCTGGTTGGAGGTTGAAACTGCAGAGGAACCTTAACCAAAAGACCTTGCTCGTAACACCCCAAGCTTTGGGGAACATTCAGCTATGGACCCACATGTGGTAGGCCTGGATTCATCTAGCTGTTGGGGTCTGTAAAACCACATCTCTAGTCAGGACTAGAGATGTTACATATCGGTTAACTGAATAGCTGATTAACCTCATGAATTCTTACTGGTTAGTCGTCTATTCTATAGTCCCCAGGCAGCCCTTGACCGGGGGTGGGAGGAGGGTCTGAGCTCCCAGAC